CCGGGTATTCACTAGCAGTAGTATATGCATACCCTGGGTGAGTCCATTTGTGTAAAAAGGGGAGAACTCCTCAACATATAGCTAGCGGGATATTAAACACAAGAGGGTGTTAAAACCATACCTAGATACTTAGCTTGATATTAAAAACGAGATGTTTTTTTCAAACATATCTAGATAGCTAACGTGACATTAAAAACGACAAGATGTGTGAAAAACATACCTAGATAGCGAGCCTACTATTAAACACGAGAGGATATTTTAAAAACTTATCTGGATAGCTAGCGTGATATTAACCACGAGAGTTTTTTGGGGTTTTTTTTTTCAAGAAAAACGTACCTAGACAGCTAGTGTGATATTAAACACGAGCTAATGTTTTAAAAGATAAATTGATAGTTAGCGAGACATTAAACATGAGAGAATGATTTGAAATTATGCCGAGATTAAAAACGAAAGCGTGTGTGTAGATGAGAACAGCTATCTGCCCCTGCGAAACAAGCCGGTACAGAGTTACCTGCCCCTGACCGGTGCACGGACGGACATGTTTTACTGACATACAGTACCGGACGAACTCGTCACACTTTACAGAGTCTAAAAAACATACCTAGATAGCCAACATGTTGTGACAGGATGTTTAAAAAAAGCATACATTGACAACAAGAGTGACAGCAAAAAAGAATATGTTTTAAAAACATGCCTAGATAGCTTGCGAGACATTAAACACGAGATGATTTTCAAAAGCATAACTAGATAGCTATCGTTTTTAACATAAAGATATGTGAAAAACATACCTAGATAGCTAGCCTGTTATTAAACACAAGAGGAAGTTTTAAAAACATATGATATTAAAAGCTAGGTTGTTTTTTGTTTTGTTTATTTTTTTTACAAAATAACATACCTAGTATGATATTAAACACGAGTGAATGTTTAAAAACATACATTGCTTGCTAGCGAGATATTAATCACGAAAATGATTTATAATCATACCAAGATAGCATGGAAGATATTAAACACGTTGATGTTTTGAAAATATGCCTAGATAGCTTGCGAGATATTAAACAAGTGTTTAATACATCGCAAGCTATTTAGACATGTTTTCAAAACAAACTTGGGTTTAATATCTCGCAAGTTATCTAGGCATGTTTTAAAAACATCCACCTGTTTAATATCACTCAAGCTGTCTAGGTTTGTTTTCAAAATATCCACGAGTTTAATATCTCGTAGCTATTTAGGAATGTTTTCAAACATTCCTAAATAGCTTACGAGATATGTTTTCAAACATTCCTAAATAGCTTACGAGATATTAAACTCGTGGATATTTTGAAAACAAACCTAGACAGCTTGAGTGATATTAAACAGGTGGATGTTTTTAAAACATGCCTAGATAACTTGCGAGATATTAAACCCAAGTTTGTTTTGAAAACATGTCTAAATAGCTTGCGATGTATTAAACACGCGGATATTTTGAGCACAAATCTAGATAGCTCAAGAGATATTAAACACCTAGATGTTTTGAAAACGTACCTAGATAGCCATGTCGTTGTGAGATCTGTGACTGTCGGGTGCTATTAAGTATGAAACCGGCCTAGTAAGCCGTCGTATGGCTACAATCTCGCTACTTAGATTAACAGAAAACCTCGATATATGAACGGGTTTCTGCAAGACCGACCTGTAGTTGGGTTAGTGGTAAGTGATTATTGCGTATTCAAAACGAAAAATTGTCAATTTGATTTTCCTTTCTGAGTTTGCCATCAATACAGTACGAGGTAAAATTCGATAAAATCATTAGTTCTGGGTTCGATCTGCGAACGTAAGCAACGTTGGGCGTGCGAGTTATTTTAACAGATATCAGTACAAAATTCGAATCTGGGGCGGAGAGCAAATTTAAATTTCCCGCTTAGTCAATGTTTGCACAAATACCCGCAGGAAAGACATGAAAATGTCTGTTGTCCCCTAACTATGGGTTAAATAGAAGTGTAAAGTAGACTTCCTAGTCATTATTGGTACCGAGTCTAAGAAACGGAAAACTTTGAATTCCTAATTATGGAGACGGCACACTACTCCAGTATCTTTATCGAAAAGTCATGACAATTTACATATTAGAAACAAAAGGGAATATGTGGAGAGCCATAATCCTTAAGGATATATTCAGTAGTAGGGGGGTAGCCGCTGAATATTTTGTATTTATTGATTCTTTTTTTGATACGTGTTATCTAACCTTTGTAGATTATTGAAAGCCAGAAATATATTTAGATTTTTTAAAAAAATTGAGATAATAAGGGTCTAGTTATACAAGTCTTACTAATTAACCCATATCTGGAGGTGAAGAGGTGGATTCATGCCTTTCTCAAGGCTTTTTGTGCGTAAGTGAATATAACGAAGCTGACTGGAATTAGAACTCAGCCATCCGATTAACAATTCCGAGCCATTGACTACTCCATTCACTGCACATCCAACCTTACAGTACCTTTTATTCTCAAGCGGAGTTGATCGCTGAAGAATCCCAGAATATGCGATAGACTTAGCAAGCCGGCGATAGATACAATCTCGCTACTTATAAGAAGACTTCGATACGTGGAGTTGTTTCTGGACTGACAAGTGGTAAGACCTACCTAGAGTTTAGTGAGTGCGTTTGTGTTGTTATAAAAAGTATCCTTATAAACAAACAATGTTTTTGTTTTTTTTTTTATTGGTAAATATGAACTAAATGATCTGTCTAGAAAATCTCAACCCAAGAAAAAAAAATCGCTGACGGTGTAGGACTGGGAAATGAGCAAAGGTACTTATCTTAATTTGCGGGAAAAAAATATATCTTCTTCCGTGACGTAGCTTCTCTGTTAGATAACTTGCGTAGCAGAACAAAGGGATAAAAAAAACAAGAAGAAACATTTCCTTTATAACCACTTCAGTGTTCACAAGTCACGAGACATTGTAACTATGAAAAAATTGGTAAAAAGAAGTTAACAACTTTTAGTCAACCAGAACGACACAGGTAAATACCTTTCTCCTCCAACCTAAACCGTCAATTTTTCCACAGATACTAATTACATTTTGTTCTTTTCTTTAGGGTTCCTTGTTTGGGGAATTAATTTTAATAGGCTTCATTATTGAATCCCCATATTGTCAGTATCGGGCCTGCATTTGCACTAGAGCTAAATAATTCTTTTTAATACTGGTTCGACCAGAAACATCCATTTGCAAAACGAATTTTAAGCAATTCATTTTATTTCATAATCTTTCTTCTTTCTAAATAAAAATAAAATGAAAGATAAAAAAAAGAACACTAAATAACACAGCAACATGCTAACAAAAAAAAAAAAAAATTAAAGAAAAAGACAAATTCTATAATAAGACATGTTTTGGTGTAAAACTGCCGAAATAAAAATGAGATAAAGTAAGATTAACGCCATGACATGAAAAAACTGCTCCTACGCATCAAGTTAATACACTTGAAAAAAAACAAAAAAACACCGAAAATTAAAAAATACAGAAATAATTACTTTATTAATAATTACATTTCGTCGTTAATTTAAAAAAAAAAAAAAAAAGCTGTCACTGAAAAAATAAACAAAATATTTTTTTATTAATAATTACACCATTTCGTCTCTAAAATTTAAACACAGAGTGTCAGGCGATGCCCCGAACGAAGACAAAGAAATTATTTCGAAAAAAAAAAAAATCAATGCATGATAGTACCTCGTCTCGGAAATTATAATAAAATTTTGTAACAGAAGTTTTCGAAGAATTAGATTAAACCTCCCAATATCTTCTAACTGAACATTTTATCGCCAGTGAAGAGATAAGACTAACTACGCACACGACCTGGCGTTGATATTAGTCCAGTTGGCGCCATAAGTATAAAAATAACCCGATTTATTTTCTCGTTGCGCTGCGAGTTTGTGTCCAAATTAAAGAAAAAAGAAAGAAAAAAAATCTCCGTTAAGCAGAGAAAAGGTGATCTCCCTTGATCCTCTGCACTAATCCAACAGTATCTTGGAAAAGGTCAGTTAATTCGGAAACATTATATGAAAGGCTTTAGTGTCTATAACAGAAGGCTATGTTTCGCTAGGCGCCCTTTTTAATAAATTCGTTCTTTTGTGGTTTCCCGCCGATGTTTTGCGTTCTTTCGCCATGGCGCCGATTCTCTAGATTTACTTATTATCACTTCGCCGCCTTTCCGCGATTTCCATCAGGTTAGCTATTCACTTACGAGTGACATTCAACCTACGAATACAGTTGCTTTGTTCGAAAGTAAATTTGTAGTACTTTTTTGTCATTCCATTAATTTAATATATTCGTATGTGCACACTAACATATGACGAAGCATCAATATTTCTCTGAAAATAGTAACTTTATTCACTTATATGAACTTCACTCTGTACAAGGCACAAGAGTAACTCAAGGTAGAAGCTTACTCTTAGAATGATGAATATGGTGAATGATATGAATAAAAGAGGAGGTGCTAAGAAGTAAGGATTATTTCAGCGAGTGAAACTTGACTTGAAAAGGTTAAGGTGTTAATGTTAATTAAGGCATTCATGTAATTCAGGAAAATAGTGGAAATTATGTCTTGTATATAGAAGGTTTCAGGGAGATCCGGGTTCATGGAAGCAGCATGGCATGTTCGAACTGAAGTGGTGGAACTAAAGAATAGAATTTCCCAGAAAATATGCTATGGAACTAGTGATAGTACAGCCGCAGATAGATTTTTTTTTTTAAAGACTTATCAACCTTACTGAACGTTATTTAAAGCCGGAATCTATTTTTAGATTGTAAGATTCTTTTCTTTTTTTTTTTTTTTTTTTTTTTTTTGGTGAGATAACAAAAATTTACTGATACACGTCATACTAATTAACCCATAGCTGAGGGTAGAAAAGGTGTATTCTACCTTTTCCAAGGGTATCTGCGTGTGAGAGAATATAACGAAATCGATTAGTATTAGAAATCGGCTCTCTGATTTCCAATTCCGAGTCGTTAGTATTTAAAACACCCGCACATCAAAGCCTACAGCACCTGGTATTCCGAAGCGATCAACCATTTAGTTACTAACCAGGCTCAACGTTGCTTAACTTCGGTAATCGTATGAGAACCGGAATTTCAACGTAGCATGGCCGGAAGTCGAATACCCACAGGCTTGCACTGTTGCATCTTCTGAAAAATGACGGTAGAGTAGTGAGTAAGTCTATTCCCACCCCACCAATACCTCTAATAAAGTTGGAAACCAAGGTTTATCAATTTCTCCTCTGATATGGCGACAATTCTTTTTAGTCTAATCTGACTCTTGTAAAGATAAAGGAATCAGGAACATTCACTAACAATAGAATGATTCGGGCATTTTTTTTTCAGCATCTTTAGTGATGGATGTTATACTTGATGTCACGAATCAACTTGAGACGAACAGACCTTCAAAGCAAAATGCCTCATTGATTGGCTGGTTGATTTTGTTTAAAGGCATATCAACGCCTCTACGGATTCTTTAATGCCAATTCGAAATCTGGATTCAACTAAGTATATTTTGAACGCAATTGTATACTTTTTGTTGGTCATTTTGCTATAAAATGTATTGTTAATACGTCTATGATAAATAGGTATTGTTGGTAATTCTATTATACATATGTATTGTTGGTAATTTCACTATAAATATGTATTGTTGCTAATTTTACAATAAATAAGTATTGTTTATAATTTTACTATAAATAAGTATTGTTGCTAATTTTACTATAAATGAGTATTGTTGCTAATTTTACTATAAACATGTATTGTTGATAATTTTACTATAAATAAGTATTGTTGCTAATTTTACTATGAATAAGAATTGTTGCTAATTTTGCTATAAATAAGTATTGTTGATAATTTTGCTATAAATAAGTATTGTTGCTAATTTTACTATAAATATATATTGTTGCTAATTTTACTATAAATAAGTATTGTTGCTAATTTTACTATAAATAATTATTGCTTTTATTTTAATATAAATAGGTATTGTTAATTTTACTATTGTGGAAGCGTGCATAGAAGTCATCCTTTTGCGCGCGCGCGTTTTGCACCTCTTCCTTCCACTTTTGATTAGACATAGCAGTAAGCCATCCTTTTGTTGTTGACTTCAAGCTTACCGGCTGCTCCTGATATTATTTGAACTTGAATTTGAAATCTTCCCGCGCAATTTCTTTGACGTCACGGACAAACTGGTTTTTCGAAGTTAGTTGCGGTCAGAACTTAGGACCAACAAGCTGACTCATTTACAGACAGGGATATCTTAACAGCAAATTATGCTTCGTCCCTTTCGGCTCGTCGTGCGTAATCTCTTTAAGTCGATGCAACTAACGGCAATGAATTCTTCGTCCCTTTTGGCTCGTCGTGTGTAATCCCACCAACTGGATGCAACTTTCAACAATTAATTCCTCGACCAAAAGCCAAAATTTTGTTTGCACCTTTTCCTCCGTTTTCTATCAGGAAAACTTCGAGGTTACCGCACGTTCGTCACATCACCTTTTCGACGACTATTTCCTCGACCTAATGCTAACATCTTATTTGAACTTTCTTGTTTTCTATCAGGAAAACATAGCACTTACAACACAGTCATCACAACACCTTTTTCGATGACTAATTTCTCGTCGAGTGGAAAGCATCTTGTTCGAGCCTTGCCTTCGTCCATGACCAGGGAAATTTGAAACCTTCAACAGTTAAGGATGAGAACTTTTCATATCCGTTGAACTCTAAACATTATGAACCAGTACCTTAAAAATATAACATTACACTCACACTAACAAAACTGGCAGTGAGTATTTTCTTTGTTGTATGTATAATATTCCGTATAAATTGACTGTTCTGGAACTTTCTTCCTGAAGAAATTTTCCCGCCTTAGCCATCTTGGTTTTCTGTTTTGGCGCGGATCACTGACATTCATTCAGTGACCTCTTGTCACAACCTTTTCATTAAATGCAAAGACCCAGTGACTTTACTGATGGTCTCCACTGTCGAGACAATTTACTTGTTTAAAAATAATAAAAGTGTATATTTGTTCCTTTACCAGACTCATTTTGTCGTTTAATCCTGGCTATCTACTTGTATTATTTTTATGCACTTGTTGAATGGACCCTTTTCCTCACTAAGATCACTCACTCAATATTTTTACTTTGTTTGTGGATTCAGTAGTCATAATTAGTGTCTGGCACAAGGCCACTTTTTAATAAACCAGAACTGCATGCTACAGGGTCTGCAACACTATATGTATTGTTAGCGTTTTCCGTACATAAATATAAATTCCTGGTATTTTTACTATAAAATTTATTTTTATACTTTCATGGGGATGTAATTTTGTTTGGGGGTTCACTATTTGTCCATAGCTGGAACTTAACAGTTGCTACAACTCCGGGTCAGGATGGACTTGGGAATAACGGAAATTAAGAAGCAATTCCACGCTCTTAAAATCTTCAATATCCCAATCAGAGGCCTTTCTGCCGGGTGTAGTATATCGACGTATCCAGGACGAGCCTCGCTGAAGGTGGAATCATTCATCATGAGCGGTAAAGGGTCGATGTCTGATCAGCTGATTTCTTAGCTGAACCATCTATAACCGTTCTAAACGCACACACGACCCCTAACAATCACCCAACCGTTGAGGTTCTGTTTCCTTAGTTCTTAATTCCTATTTGCAGTTGCCCAAAGATGGAAAAACCTCGAAAGACTTAAAATATGGGACTGTCAAACATTGAGAAGTAAATGGAAGCTTTTCAGCAAGCTCGCCAAAATGGTTGCAAGTATTGACAGATTTGATCAAATTGAAGTGCAGTATGTGCCACAAACCAAAGCGCATCTAATTTTGTTGTGTAACTGCAATCAAAGAATCCACGTTAGGAAATATCCTTCATCGAAAAGTAGTGGTAAATTTAGCCGCTTCTCTATAAGGAAACAATTGACTTTCATTGAGCGACCCCAGTACTGTTTTGCGTTGAAATTTATAAAATCTTTCTGTTTAAAAATACATTTTATAGGAAACCATGTTTCTCAAGTCCAGTAGCTTTCATCGCCCTATCCAGTAATGATGAGGTTTTCCTTCTATTCGAAGTAGGGTGGAATGGCAATATTTTAATTATATTACTATTTATTTCTTCGAATGATAAGTGCTATCCATTTTAGTTGTTGCTGCTGTTGGTATCCCTCAAGTGATGTAGTTGGTACATTTTTTTATTGTGATCCTGTAGCGCCAATCCCTCAATGTTCAAAGAAGGATAATCTTTGCCAAGACACTCAGGCTTTACACAATCAAATCCTTTTTTTCACTATTGATATGAAGTAGCGTTTGTTTTATTTTTATTTTTAATTTTTTGTTTTTGATGTAATGAATATGCATACACCTGGTTCCCCCTCACAGTAATATGATTGGCTGGTGTCAGCCATAAATACAGACTGATGTGGAGGTACAGGACGACGCCTCTTGGCTACGACCAGGGAATGTAGTTCGTCCGAGCACTTTCCCTGGAATAACAGTAGAACAACGAAAGGCTTACCTTGCCTCATACCGCCTATAAGAAAGAGGTGGAAGGGTGGCGAATAATTCGTCACCCACAAGGGTTCGGAGACGCTTATGGACTCTATCAAGACAGGAGAGTGAAGTCTGGGACTGACATTATATATATATATATATATATATATATATATATATATATATATATATATATATATATACACAAATGTTTGGAGGTACAAAATTTATATATAGTTTTAAAAACAAGGAATGCATTGATTTTAATTTTAAAAGTCTCTAGGGCCCTTTCAGCCAACATCTCATCAGGAGACAATCGTTGGATTAGCGAAAAGAATATTAACGATAATGAAGAGCAAAAAAGAGGGGGAACACACTAAAATAACAAACAAGTATATATACTTGTAACGAGGGGAGGGGAAATAATCGTGTAAATAAATTAGCGAGGGACAGTTAAAATAAAATATCCCCCAACAGATTAAGAGACTTTACAAATTCCCATCCTATACAGACCGATTCCAAAATCTTCAAATGATTGTTGGAATCGGCTGTATGAATAATTTTAAACCACTCTTTTTTAAACAACTTGGCGCAGGCTATATTCTCAACTAAATGTTGAGCAATAGACGATTCCATATTCATGGGGGGAAGATAGCATATTCTATCTATCTTACCAAGTCGTATTTTGGAAGGTACGTGCTGATTGATTCTAGTTTCCAAATGCAAGGTTGTACGCCCCACATAACCAGCAGCACACTGGCAATTAAATCCATATACTAAATTACTCAATTTGATGTAGGGCAATACATCCTTGCGAAAACACGGAAACGCAGACCTAGTTCGAAAAATGCTACGTAAAGCAACTGATGGGAAACAACCGGAAGTCTGGGACTGACATTATATATATATATATATATATATATATATGTGTGTGTGTGTGTGTGTGTGTGTGTGTGTGTGAGAAGAATTAATGTATTTAGTTTAATCCGGCATTATTATTATTTTAAACATTATTATAGAGTATTCACGTACGTTTTTATTAATATTTCTTTAATGTGTAAAGACGTTGTTGTAGAGTAGTTTCACAGTGGAGGCTTGTATTTCACTAAGTCGGTCCTAAAAAAGGTTCGACGTCCAAAACGTTAGGAACTTGATATAATAGTTAATGACGCAGCAATCTAGTTGTGGTGGTTGATACTTTAATGTCCGACATCGACTGACTCACCAGCTCACTGGCGACTGCTACTACTACTACTTATTATGTGTGGGAGTGTCTATTACAATAGAATAGATATGTTCTAGTATAACAGACGTAATACATATTGTTTAAAGTAAAAATAAAATCGGGGTGTCTTCATCAAATCTGAGTATCCACTATGATAACGTTTGAAGTAATAATCTCTATATATAAAGGGCAGGGTGTGTGTGTGTGTGTGTGTGTGTGTGTGTGTGTGTGTGTGTGTGTGTGTGTGTGTGTGTGTGTGACGAATGCTCGGCCGCAATTTTCGACGGATTTGC